CCGGTAGCCGGCAGGGGGGGTCGGTAGCCGTGCAGGAGGGCCGGTAGCCGGCAGGGGGGGTCGGTAGCCGTGCAGGAGGGGTCGGTAGCCGTGCAGGAGGGCCGGTAGCCGGCAGGAGGGGTCGGTAGCCGTCGCCCACCCGCCCGCCGGGCTCACCACGTCGCTCTTGGTGGTGTAGACGCGGTCAGCCAGGCTCTCGATGGCGATCCACTTGACGGGCATCTTGGCGATGCGGCCCTGGCGGTAATAGTCGCCGTTGTAGATCTTCTTGGACAGGCCGAAGTCGGCCACGCAGACGTTCATGTTCTCGTTCAGCCTGCGGCAGCACAGGGCCCAGTGAGGGGGGAACTGGGGGGCCGGGGGAGAAGGGGCAGGTCTGGGGGGGAGGGAGGGGGCTGGGGACCCTGGGAGGGCAGGGGAAGGAGGGGAAGGCCAGGGGGGCAGGAGGGGGGCTGGGACCCTGGGGAAGGAGGGGCAGCCCTGAGGGGGCAGGAGGGGGGAATGGGACCCTGGTGGGGCCGGGGGGGGGCAGAGGAAGAGGGGAAGGCCGGGGGGTCTGGGGGAGGAAGGGCAGGCTGGTGGGGGCAGGAGGGGGCGAATGGGACCCTGGGGGGTGGGGGAGGAGGGACAGGCTGGGGGGGGCAGGAGAGGGGGAATGGGACCCTTTGGGGGACAGAGGAGAATGGGCAGGCTGGGGGGGGCAGGAGGGGGGCTGGGACCCTGGGGGGCCGGAGGGGTGCCAGCCGGTGGGGTCCGTGTCTCTCACATGCAGTTGCGGGCGGCCAGGTCCCGGTGGATGAAGTTCCGGCTGCTGAGATAGTCCATCCCGCTGGCGATGTCGGCCATGAACCGCACCAGCGTCTGCGTGGGCAGGTACTGGGGGACAAGAGCTGGTCAGTGCCTGGGCCGGGGGCGCTCCCCAAGCCGGGCCCCTGCTGCATCCCCCACGCGGCCGGAGGTGCCGGGGCCGGGTGGCGGCGGGGTCCTGGCGGCAGGGTCGTGGCGGTGGCTGGGGCCGGGGTGGAGCACACTCACCAAGGGGCTGTCCCCGAGCCGGGAGTAGAGAAGGAAGCTGTGCAGGTCGCCATGTTTCATGAAGGGCAGGATGACCACGGGCGAGGGGTAGCCCTCGCTCTCCGTGCTCTGCAGACACACCCCTGCCGAGAGGGAGCCGAGCGGCCATGAGACCCGTCCCCTGGGGTCCCAGCCCCCCCGGGATCTCAGCCCCCCTGGATACCCACCCCCCAGACTCCAGACTCCCCAGGGATCTCAGCCCCCCAGATGGAACAGGGCCACCAAGATACCAGTCCAAAATGAAGGTGTGGGGTCTAGTGGTTACAGCAGGGGAGGGGGTTGGGAGCCAGGACTCCTGGGTTCTCTCCCTGGCTTGGGGAGGGGAGGGGAGGGGAGTGGAGTGGGCTGGGAGCCAGGACTCCTGGGTTCTCTCCCTGGCTTGGGGAGGGGAGTGGAGTGGGGTGTAGGGGTTAGAGCAGGGGGCTGGGAGCCAGGACTCCTGGGTTCCAGGTGGTGGGTGAGTCCCTGCCCCGGATCGGTGGTCAGTTGCTCCGTGGGGCCAGAGGAGTGCAGTGACCTCCCGTGGGTGTCACTAGATGCATGTGGGTAGCACCTGGAGCCCCAGCTGAGCTCAGGGCCCCGTCGAGCCGGGCCCCACATGGGCCCCACGGGACGAGCTCCCGGCCTGGCCAGAAGCGCAGGCTCCGCTCTGTGGCCGGGCACCACGGCCTGGGTCGCCCGGGGGCACTGGTGGAGACGGGCCATGAACCCCAGGCCCTGTGCAGTCGAGGCGTGACGCGGTGAGGGAGGGAATCCAGCCGGGCGCACACAGCCTGTGCCAATTCCCCTGGCGGCTGTCCCGAGTTCCCGTCTCTCCCTCCCACATCTGCTTTCCCAGGGAAACCTCCCGCCCCTGGGGCCCTGGCCCCCCGACTTCCTCTCCGCTTTCCCAGGCCATCGCAGTGACATTCCCCCGTCCCGCCAGGGCCAGGCTGCAGCCGCTCGCCCCCCCAGGCCCAGCGTACGGGGCACCCCGCGCCTCCCGCTCCCCGTGACGGGGCCGTGGGCCCTGCTACACCCCTCCCCAGGAAGCCTGCCCCGTTAACCCTGTGGGTGCTGCGCCCAGGCAAGGGGGCTCTCACCCAGGAGCTTCATGACGTTGGGGTGGTCGAACTCCTTCATGCAGACGGCCTCGCTCAGGAAATCCTCCATCTCGCTGCGGGTGCAGATGGCGACTGCGGGGGACACGGGGTGTGTGTGTGATGCCAGAGCTGCGGGCACCGGGGCAGAGCCGCAGGGAAGGGGAGGGAGCAGAGGAGGGGACCCTGGGGAGATGGCGGGGGCAGGAGAGGGCCCATTAGGGGTGCAAGAGGAGAGGGGGTTCTGGGTGGAGGGGACCCTGGGAGGAGGGGGGGTCCCAGGGTCTCACCAGCCCCCCAGGTGCCAGCCAGACACTTACTCTTCATGGTCTTGACGGCCACCTTGAGGACGCTGTCGTCCTGGTTGAGCTGCCCTTCCATGACGGAGCCGAACTCGCCTGGGGAAGCCAGAGGCAGAGGGGCTGTGAGATCCCCAGCAGTGCGGGGGCTGGGACACACAGCACGGCCATTCCCCAGGCAGCCAGCAGGGGGCAGAAGCTTGTGCACACACACACACACACACACACACACACACACCCTCCCCAGTAGAGCACAATGCACACACACCCAGCAGTGCACACAGCACGGCCATTCCCCGGGCAGCCAGCAGGGGGCAGAAGCGTGCGCGCGCACACACACACCCAGCAGTGCACACAGCACGGCCATTCCCCAGGCAGCCAGCAGGGGGCAGCAGCTTGTGCACAGAGACGCACCCAGCAGAGCACAAACACACACGCACAGCAGTGCACATGCTCTCTCACACACACACACACACACACACACACACACACCCCCAGCAGCAGCCAGGACTGATCCTGGCTGGGCCGGGCCGGGTGGCGGAACAGAGACCAGCTACACGCCCACCTGGGGGCCGCAGGGGCCCTGTCTCGGGGCGGGGGCCTGCACCTCGGTGGGGAAATTGACAGGCAGAGCCCCACTTCTACCAGCCCCAGCTGCCCCCCAGATCTCTGTCCTGACAGCAGGGGGCACCCCACTGCCCAATTCCCTGTGCCGACAGCAGGGGGGAAATGTGGCCGGAACGGGTTACATCCGCTCCCTGGCGAGGGAGCTGCTTGGGGAATATCTCCCTGCCAAGCCGGGAGCTGGATGGGGCTGTGGAATCGGGCCGGGGCGGGGACTGGAAACACCAGGAGCGCTGGAGCCGCGAGCCAGGGGCTTTTCCAGCCGGGCTCGCAACTTTCCAAAGCTGGAGCTCCCTGGCCACGTCGGCGGCGCGAGGGGAACCTGGCCTGCAGCTCCCTGCGCTGGGAACACGCAGCCCCCAGCCCCCCGCCTGCCTGGCTCCCTGGGCCGCACGGGGGGGAACCCGCCAACCCCAATGGATCCATCGGGGGTAGCAGATCCCACAATGCATTGCTGCCCTCCAGCGTGGGGTGCAGGCCACCTACCTTCACCCAGGGTCTTCCCCAGGGCCACTTTGTGCCGGTCCACCATCACGTCCCGTAGCTTCTCCTTCAGGTCCTCACTGATGCCCAGGCTGTTCACTGTGGCGCGAGGGCAGGGACAAGGGGTCAGGCTCCGGTGCAGTAACGATGGGGGCACAGACCCTGGCCGAGATCGGGGCCCCGTCGCGCCGGGCGCTGCCCAGACCCCGGCCGAGATCGGGGCCCCGT